TGTGTGTGTGTGTGTGTGTGTGTGTGTGTGTGTGCACACATGTGCCCGGGGGAGGGGAGGGAGGACCCCTCCCCCACCAATCAATCAATCAATCAGTCAGCCAATCAATCAATCAATCAAAAATACAACCAATCAATCAATCAAAAATACAACCAATCAATCGATATTTATTTATTTTTCTATTTTTAAAAATTTTATTGTCACACACCACCCCCCCCCCCAAATTTCACTTTTTTTTTGTGTGGCTTCTGGAGGGGGACGCCATGCGCAGGTGATGCGCGCGCCCCGTTTTCGGGCGCGCGGTTCCGCCTGCGCGTGGCGCGGCCGCAAAGTTTCTCGGCCACGGGGTAGCGGCCGGCCTCCTCGGCCGCGGACGAGGCCGCAGGATCCGCGGGCGTGGGGGTCACGTAGCTCCCTCCCCTTTCCACTCCTCTAATTTCCCACCTCACTGCCTTTCCCACTCGGGTTACCCACCTCAGTCCCTCTCCTTCCATCTGAATTGTTCCCCCTTCCTTTTTTTCCTCCCCCACTTCCCTCCTCCTCACTCCCTCCCTACCGTCTTCCCGAATACAACGCAGTACAGAACCGGAAATATAGAGGGTGCATTATGTTCGCGGAAAGACAGTAGTCCTCCCTCCTTCCCCCCTTCCGGGTCCTCCCCTCCCTCTCCTTGCCACTGCCTCTGCTCAATCATGCTTTCCCTCACCCCCTCAGCAAATTATCTTTCTGGCCTTACCCAGTTCCTTCACCTCCATCATCATCTACTCCTGAGCCCGCCCCCCCCATCCCTCTCCTTGCCAATTTCTCATGTTCTCCATATATGCCCCCCCAAAACAACTGGAAACATTCCTCCCACCTTTCCACACCGCAGAAAACAGACCACAACAGTTCTCAGTCATGCGATGCTCAAGAATCATCCGATGCTTACCACCGCGGCATTATAACTTTCAATGTCTTGGGTACAGTGGGTGAGGAAGGGGGAGGAGGAGGATTGAGTGAAGGTTCGGAATGAGGATCACAAGAAGAAGACGCAGAATCAGGATAGGGTGTCCTTCCTGGGATTTCTGTTTCCAGGGGGCTCAGTCTTCGACGTTGCCTCCCTTCATCCATAATTATCTTCACGTTCATGGCCTTGTCAACCTGACCAGTTTTCGTGTATGTGTTCCACAGTGTCCGGTAGACTTCGAGGTCTGGCTTGCACCCAGCCCTCTTCATCTTCTCCAAAACTTCCTCTGCGCGCTCCCATGCACCGCTACGCCCGCATCCATGGATCAGTGCTGTATAGCTAAACTTGTCAGGAGTCAACCCATACTCCAATGGCATAGCATTGAAGAGCTCCTCCGCAAGATCAATCTGCCCCCCAGCTGCGTAGGCACGAAGCATGGCATTACAGACCTTCACATTTGGCTTTATTCCTGCCGACAACATTTCAGCAAAACGAGCCCAAGCCATCTTCCACCTACCTGTCGACCCAAGCGCCTTTATGACAACTGCATATGTCACAACGGTCGGCTTCACTCCCACAGACTGCATCTGGTCGATCAGCCTGGCAACAAGACGCCACTGACCAGCACGAGCACAGGCATCTGCTACCGTATTCCACACCATTGCATCTGGGACATTGGGACCGTCTATCGCAGCCGGCTTCATCAACATCGGCAGCAGGTCCCTTAGCGTCGCCATAGCTTCGTGCCAGAGACCTGCCTGGCCATACGCTCTGATGAGAGCTGTCCACGTCACCAGGTTCGGCACACAGCCTCTTGCCTGCATCTCGGTCACTGCTGCCTCTGCACGGCGCCAATCTCCCCCGTGTCCACATGCATCCACCAGCACACTCCACGTCACCACATTGGGTTCCACTCCTTTCAATTTCATCTCGTCGAATACCAACTTCCACGCAAGATCAATTTCCCCCCCCGTTGCACACGCACTGACAAGAGCCGTCCACATGCCCACATTGGGCACAACTCCATCTTCGAGCTCCATCCTCTTGAATACTTTCATCGCAGCCTTCCACTCGCCCATCTTTTCGCACGCACTAATGACGCCGGTACACACCACTCTGTCCGGCACGTACCCCATGGCGCAGAGCTCATCGTACAACTGCAGTGCCTCCTTCCACCTCCCAGATCGGCTGCACGCCTGTACGGCATCTGCATAATACACCTCCTTTGGCAGTTGCCGTCTATTTTTCATGCCTTCGATGATCTCTATTGCCAACTCCCAATGTCCCAGAAACGAACAAACTTTCAAGATATCACCAGTTATACAATCACCAGGAATGATCCCTCTACGCATCATCACTCTGAACACATGTGTGCTCCTTGCCCATTCACCGCTATTCATCAGCGCCTGAATGAGGGAACTGTACGACACTGAGCTCGCAGCAATGCCCTTTTTCTGCTCCATTACATGAAACACATCTGCTGCCCTCCTCCACTCGCCCATGTTTCCAAGAGCAGCAATGACATCTGCATAGACCATCTCATCAGCACTTGCCCACTCCACTTGCTCCCCATCCTCCTCCGCATTAATCCGGATGAATGCATCAATGAGGGACCAATACTGCATTGCTATCACCAGCCTGGTCATCGCGAGATCCAACGTTTCCACCGCAAATGAATTATCCACCCCTCTTATTATCTTCCTCGCTTCTTGAAATGGACCTCTCCCAGAAGCTTCCCATCTCTCACTTTGTTGCCAAATACTTTCTTTTATCTTCCTCCTCCGTGAATTTGCTAGTGGCACTGGGTAGGAGCGATAAGACCTCCCGGAAATGCCATCGCCATTTATTACATCGCCACCATCGTCGCCGTCCCGTGTCTTATTCGTTCCACGCCTCGTGGGGGAGCGGGGTGAGACAGACATGTTTGCTTTCATGGAGCTCACATCCAACGCACAGCATCGATACTCAGACTGCGAGTTTTTGCATGCCGACTCTCGTATCGCTTTATGGAACAACCTCACGTCTGCAGGTGTACGTCGATGTCCTGTCGAGGCTGTTACCTCGCTCCTAGACCACCTGGACATGCAAAGCTCCTGCTCCGCCACACTGCCATGCTTTCTCCCTCTGTCACACTCCACCCGTGCGATACTCTTCCTCATCACCTTCGACCCCATGGTTCTCTCCATGACCATCCTGAGCTTCCCACCTACGGGTCCATTTGTCTTATTAGGTGCTGTAGCAATGAATGTTTTGCCGCAACGTTTACAGGACGTTGAACCATGACTTTGACAAGTGTTGTTATGCACAGGTGCTAACAAATAGCAGCTCCTTTTTTTCTGGCACAAAACCCTCCCACCTGCAGGAAGACTCCCGGCATGAGGAGGCCGAGGAGATGAACAAGAGCTCTGCATCTGTACCTCCGAGCTTGGGATCGCTCCCGCTGCATGCAACAGCTGACAGTCGTTGCCGGGCCCGTCATTAGAGCTCAACTGCTTTGCTTGGTACAAGGAGAGACCAGTCTGAGAAGCCGCCAGATTCACAACACGAGCCATAGCCGATGACAAGAAGAGCCCTTGAAGCTACGCCTGCGTATGTAGAGGAGCATTAGTATTAATACAACAAATTGGTAGCAATAACATGAGAATTCGAAACACAGCTAAGAAGCATATACATTGTTTGTGAGTGCAAGGAACTGTCTCATGGAGAACGGCCTCCTGTGGGTGTTGAGTGTTGCCCATGTGTCATTCGTTCTGTTTTTATGTTTGTGTTTTTTCTAGGGTGTTCAGCTGCGACTGTGAACATCCATTTCCAGTTTCTCAGTGGACGAGAGCACAGACAATGTGATATTGTAGAGGATGGTACGAAACAGAAGCTTCCTTGCAGTCTGCTAAGATCTGGGCCTTGATGTGCCCTTGGCATATGTAGTCGGGGAGGAGAGAGAGAGAGAGAGAGAGAGAGAGAGAGAGAGAGAGAGAGAGAGAGAGAGAGAGAGAGAGAGAGAGAGAGAGAGAGAGAGAGAG